CTGAAGTACAAAGGTTAAGCAACTTGCCTAAGGTTCTACAACTGTGATGTAGGATCTGGCTCCAAGTTGTGTTGTACTCTTAACCACAGCGCTTACTCTATGCCCAGAGAAGGGCATGGCTCTCCCTATGCTGGGGATCAGTTTGTGGTAAGCCGTTTTTATAGGAGCATATCTGCCTGTACTGGGGTGGGGGTGGCAGGAAGGTCATTGTGATGGGAGATTGCTTTGGAAATGAGAGCACAAGATATGAGGCAGGAAAGGATCTCAGAGGACTTGTTTGTTTCCTGTGCTAATGTCCTGTGAAGTTGGCTTTTTGAGAATGGGGGTGATGGGGTGTCACTGGGCAGCAGAGTACACATTTGCATTTCGAACAGTTATTTTGAGGACTATGGAAAATGCACTGGCATGGAACAGTATGGAAGACTGAGGCAGGGAGCCAGTTTGGAAGTCTGGCAGTGATTCAAGGGATAAGGGTGAGGGAGTAATTCATTCATTCAACAGGCTTCAGATTTAGAAACTGCTGACTAGGTTAGCCTAACAAGATTTTTTTGTGGCTAGAGAAAGAGGAAAGGAATCTAGAATGATTTATGGGTCCAAGTCTGATTACTAGTAGATAATTGTAAATATTTTTGGGACGGTGAAGATTAGTAAATATAGTGTTATATAGTTTGGGGAACATCATTAATTTTTAAATGGTTGTACTAACTCTCCCTGGAATGCATAACAGACCATTGATTAAAGTCTCCAGTTTAGAAAAAAGGCAAGGCCTGGTTCAGTAAGAAAATGTTCTGATTGTTAAAACTACGAGAATAAGGAGGAATGTTTGTTGACCATGAAACCCTTGTCTTAGTTATTGATTTTTACTCTGAAGAGACACCATGATCAAGGAAAATATTTTTTTTAAAAAAATATTTAGTTTGGAAGCTTGCTTAACAGTTAAAGAGGGGGACTCCGTCATCATGGCGGAGAAACATACTAGCAGAACTCAGGCATGGCGCTGCAGCAGTAGCTGAGAACTTACATGTTAGCATTGGGAGACAGACGGAGAGAGCACGTCAACTGGGATGCTTTAGGTTTTTGAAATCTCAGAGCCCATCCCAGTGACATACCTCCAATAAGGCAACACCTTCTAATCCTTCCCAAACAGTTCCACCAACTAGGGACCAACCATTCAAACATAGGAGACTATGGAGTCAGTCTCATTAAAACCTCTATACTTCAGGAACACTGATACGGAAGTATGAACCAAGTATTAGGTTTCAAAAGATAGGACAAAGTGGAGAAAGTAAACAGGAATATGAGAGGTAGAGGAACAAAGTAAGAAAAAAAAAATGAGGAGCTCCTTCCTGGCTCTTGAACTGTAGAGAAGTCAAGACAAAATGGACCATGTGAATTGGGTTCTTCATAAGAGGGCGTTAGTGATTTGCATAAGAGCTGGAGCAACGGTAGAGTAGTAGTGAGCAGGGCGGGGTCCTGTTGACACAGTCTGGGATACAAGGAGGTTAAGAAATGCACATAGACCATTGTCTTAGGATGCTGGGTAGGAGAGACGAATATGCGAGCTTGTAAAAAGTTTGGTGCATATACAATTATTAAAAGATGATTTAAAACATTTCATAAGTGGAATAAGGGGGTGTGGAGGCTGGCAGTCCATGAGTCCTCTAGATGATGGACAGGAGTCAGCACTGGAAACAAGCTCTGAGTAAAGAACTCATTTCTGGAAGGGAGAGAAAAAAAAAAAAACTATGGATAGTTGAGGCTGTGGGTAAGTTTATGTGGGAAGTGTTATAAGCCTCAGGCTTCCTGGAAGGACTTGATTTGAGTTAAGTAGGGAGAGAGGGCTGCTGGAAAGCACAAGCTGAGAAGCAGAAGGTGAATTGTCTCCGAGTCATTAAAAGGGGACAATTTTTACATGGGATGTCTGAAAACATTAGGGGCCCAGATGAGCAGTGACGACGTGACAACCTCCCGTTCTTCAGGAGCAATGCAAATTTTCTCCGGAACCTGCTAGACAGGTTGATTTTCTGCCCTCCACAGCACTGTTGGTGCAGAAAGAGCTACACGTGTGACCTTGTGTTGTATAACCTGCTTACATCCCCCCTATGAGAATTCTAAGCGCCTAAAGAGAAGTCCCACTTTTTTTTCATTATCATATCCCTCCATCCTGTCAGTGTTTCATCCAGGTTATTCTTAACTGCTGATTGTATGTCTATTTCTCTGAGCTGAACACATGAGCTGTAACAGATGGATCATACCTCCCTGCCACTGCATAGCTATGCTCGGGACTGACTTGAGGAGGTTCACATTGTTGGCGTTGTGCTCATGGAGGCTGTGAGGTCTAATATGTTTGGTATTTGTTTGGTATAAGTGAATCTTCCCCGGTTTATTTGGTAATTCGCCTGTAACTCTGGCATCATCCTTTTAAATTTCCATACTCTGGAATAAGACGGCAACAGCATGTCTTACCTGGGGGAATTTTCTTATGTTCATTGTTTACTGCCATTTACTCTCGGTGTTAGCCTAAATTTCCTTAACCGTATGCTATCCTACGATGTTAGTGTTTCTAATAACATGTTTAGGAATATTTGGGGCTACTCTAACTTATTATTATGAAGGTTGTCTTGGTTTAGCCAGGTCAAATTTACTTTTCATTTTACTGACAGAGTTTATTCTGCTTAAATTGCTTCAGCAATGAAATGTTTTTACTGCAAGAAGCCACACAGTGTAATTAATAGCTTGTGGAGCCCCTGAAAGAGGTATATTCCAAACAAAATTAGAAAATTTTGCAGTGTTTGCCAGCCACCCCATTCTTACTCGGGGTCTTCTGAGGGATAAAAACCAAATGGAATGGCTGATCCCTTCACTTGAATCTTCTGGAAAAGCATAATTTTGAACTGACTCATATAAGTATGATTTTTAAATCTTGAAATGACTCATCCTGCTATAGATTGGACATAACATCAACATTTTAATTTTACTCCTTAAGGAACAAGTCAGCGAGTAGACAAAACCACTTTTGACGGCAAATCGGTAGAGCAGACACACCATAGGGAAGGGACACTACTAAAGGGTCTGTTAATGGATGCAAAACTGGTCAGGCTCTTCAGGTTATTTAAATTAATATTGTTGGAACCCTCGTTCATGAGGCACAAATCAGTTACAAGGAAACATTTCTATCTCTATAGAAGAATCTTGTGAATGACCCCGCCCCATTCCAACAACTTATACAATTGTAGATGGTCAAGTTGAAGTCGGCAGAAGCAAAAACTGTCTAGAGTCTTAAAATTACAGATAGATATCTGCTAGATAGTGCCCGGCACCCACTAACAAGGCACTCTGGGAACTTTCTGTCCATTTCAGAATCTGAACAGGTATTTTCTGATACTTCCCTTCCTTTGTGACATCACTTCTCCCCATCTTCCTTTGTACAGTGTGATTCCTTGCCCTCAATGTCTCTTTCTCCAGGGAAATTACACAAAACTCCAAGGGGGATAGAGATTGTAATTGGACATGAAGCCTGGGGCTTTCTAATATTTGGGTAGCAAAAAATCTAGAGAACTGGGAAAGGTGAACCGTGGATGCCCCCAAGTCTGCTTCAGGTGGTACATTCCCGGGAGTGTCCAGAGGGCCCAGCTCATTTTAGTAGATACCACGATGTCCAGTTTTATGCTGTTGCCCTGTGTCTGTGCAGCATGGTGTTGCTTAGGGAGCGTTTCTTAGATGTTTTCTCCTGGGTTGCTCCCTAGCATTCTAGGAAGTCACCCACTGTTTGCTCTGACCCTTTTTTGTTAAACCATGCTATAGAAAATTGAATTGCGTAGCGTTGTGCACCAGTGTGCCAGGCAGAGGACTAGTGCTTGAGTTTTCTTGAACAAAGTCCAGAGTGTATTCTGGTGAAGGCTTCTACTTACATTCAACCCACTGAGTATTTATTAATAATTACATTGTTAGAGTAACATTTTATGACCTCAGTGTTATATCTCGTTTACATAGAAGGAGGAAGTATTAAAGATTAACAAAGTTAATATTTTTTATTCATTGGTACTTTGGGTTTTGAGGGAAAAGACAAGCTACTCAGATAAGAGCTTTTGATAAATGCCCATGTTACATAATACAACTGGAGTTTCTCCACAGCTTTGCATTTGGGTCGAATGGTAAACAGGGCACTCAGCTGGTTTATGCCATTGATGACTATTCTCTACTCATCAGCAGCATCTGCTCTTGGTTTCAACTTGTTTCTTGGCTTTTAGGGTAGTTTATGGTTTATTGGAGGCAGAAATACCTGTAATCTACATTTCAAAATTGTTCTGTAGATTCAATGAAATGTCGGGGTAAGGAAAATGCCATTCAATTGTGCGTACTCCTTTGTGAGACTTGCATACAAAGTGTCTACCGCTGTCTCCTTTGAAGTGGGAAATGGCCACAGAGAACATTTTTTTTCCCTTGTTAGTATTCCAAGACTTCCCATCCTCTTGGAAAGATAAGATTTGATTCATTCGGGTTGCTTTGTATATTAAAGTATAATAGAACTGGCCACTTTTTTGGGCTATGCAGCCTGAGTGAAGAGATAAATTTCATATCACTTTAGCACATTCCATCTAGAAGATGTGTATAGAAGTTGAGCCCGAATAGAATACTTGGTTTTCTATTCAGGATGTTCCCATAGTAAGGATAGTATTTTCTTACATATATCAGTAAGCAGACATGATTACTTCAGAGCTTTAAAAGCTAGATACTGTACCTTGCGTATTCCAACACAATTGGTAAATTGATCCCCATGATACATGGTAATACATACTTTGTATTATTAAGACTGAATAAAGAAAAGTTACAGTCTACTAGCTCGTGTGCAAATAATTTGTTGCTATTTTTCACCTTGGTCCTGTACTACAAGCGTAAATGAACAGTTGAAGTAGTTTTCTTTACGTTAAGGCAATACACCTAAGATAATACATCATATATGCGGATTGTGACAAAATATTTTTGTGTCTGTGTTCCAGGTTCAGCTCAACTACTGTTTAGCAAAGTCAAATCCGTAGAATTCACTTCGTGCAATGAAACTGTGGTCATCCCTTGCATCGTCCTCAATGTGGAGGCGCAGAGCACAGAAGAGATGTTTGTGAAGTGGAAATTGAACAAGTCGTATATTTTCATTTATGATGGAAATAAAAATAGCTCTACCGTAGAACAAAACTTTACCAGTGCAAAAATCTCAGTCTCAGACTTACTGAAAGGCGATGCCTCTTTGAAAATGGATACCCGGGAGGCCGTGGTGGGAAACTATACTTGTGAAGTGACGGAGTTATCCAGAGAAGGCAAAACAGTCATAGAGCTGAAAAACCGCACGGGTAAGTGGCACAGTTGGCCTGTTCTGAAACGTGTTGAGATGTGGTTGCCACTGTGGGAGTCCTCTGAGGTGGGACCTTGAAGAAGTCACTAGGAGGAATTAAGGCTCTTCTCAGGCAGGTGGGCCAGCCATCTGGAGAGAAAGCGAGTCTGACACTCGTGTTTCTTTCTCTTTCACACACACACACTCGTCATGTAGCTTATTGTGAGGTAGCACAGAGATCCATCTCAGAAACTGAGCAGGTGCCAGCACCGTGCAGTGGAACCAGGTTAAGCTGCTTCTAAGCCACCTCCTCCTGGTACTCGGTTACAGCAGGAGAAAACAGACTTTAAAGCAAGTAAAAGTAAGACTGTAAAACTTGTCTAAAGGCCTCTTGTGTCCTAATGAAACTGACCTTCCTGGAAAGAGCACACTAGTAGCCAGACTTGTCTCTGATCTAATCTATAGCGCCTTCCCTCAGAAGCAAGGCCCAGCCTCAGCTATATAACACCTTTGAGGCTGCTAGCCAGGGCAACAGGAAACCTCACGTTAAAAACAACTCTTCTATTGAGGTAATGGGTGCTTCTGTTTATTGTCATCAGATGTAATTTATCTGAGTGTGGTGGCCCATGAGTGATCTCAACACTACAGAGGCTGAGACAGGAGGATTGCTGCAAATTTGAGGCAAATCTGGACTCCATAGTGAGTTACAGAAAAGCTTCAGGGCAAGACCTCACCTTACCAAACCAAAATAAACTTTTGCGAACAAAATGTACTTTTTATTATTCTATTAATTTGTCAAGTTCCTCCTGGTTATTTCGTCTTTTTGTGGTCTTGTAGCCTTCAACACTGACCAAGGATCAGCCTGTTCTTACCCCACTACCCCGGCAGGGGACGAGAAGGAGAAAGGAGGTTGCAAATTAGGTAATCATGCTGATTCCTGGAGGTTTCTGTGGCCAGCTTGCTACATTTGCCAGCAACTGGGGAAGCAGGGATTCAACTTGAATTCAGTCTTGATGCTAGCGTCCAGATTTTTCATGAGTGGGTTGGTGAGTTGTGGACAGCAGTGTTGTTATCTGAAATAAAGTCTCCTTTCTTTTCTATTTTTCTGCTGTGCTGGCTGATTTTTTAGAACCACATACAAGGAATCCTAACAATTTTAAAGAGTGCATTTTAAGCTCTACTTAAACCAAAAGGTGTATGGCCGACCTCAGGGTTGATGACTTGAGAACCAGCTCCGGGTGGGATCAGGACTGCTGAATTAGGTCAGCTACTTCCCATCTGTTCTTGCCTTTAAAATTACAAAATGTCTGTTAGCAGATTCTGGGGGATGGGGAGTGGCCTGATTAAATATTCTGACCCAGGATTAGAGATCATGCAGTCTAAATTCCACATCCTAGTCAGGACTCACTTCACCCCATTCATCAGGGAAGACTCTTCACTGAGTCCAAGCTGCCTATATCTAAACTGAGGATGAAAATTTAATTTTCTCCAGGTGTTTATGTGATGTGGTGTCCACATGCTGCCCAGAAGTCTGCTGAGAAGGGGGGGAATGGCTTAGGAGGCAAGAAGAATTTGGAAGGCCTCTGCACAGAAGCTCACATATTCCTTACTTTATGACTGATGTTAACTTGGGTTAAAGAGTTTTTTTTTTTTTTTAATGTCTGCATTTTAGGACGACCTAGTCAGTCAGGAGTGTGTACAGGAAGAGACCATCCTCTACCTGGTCGGAGGTTTTCTGAGAGACTAAATAGGTTCATGGGAGTGAAAGCACCAGACATTAGGAACAGTGGTTTGGGTCAGTGAGGGGGAAACCGCTTAAAAAACAAACAAAAGCAACAACAGCAAAACAGACAAAAACAAACCATTAGTTTGAGACTGAAAAAGACAGAAATGGAACAGAGATTAGCAGGAAGGGAATCCCAGTGTCTGAGATGAAGACAGAGCTTATTTTGTGTATAACTGACTTATACTTGTTTGCAAAATATTCCCCACAGAACTAAGAGCCAGGCTTTATTTTGTATCGTTAAGATTGTTGTATACAATGTAAAAATTCTACCAGAAACTTAAGTTTCTAACTTTCTATACACTTTTAATTTTTTTAAAAAAATAACGGGTGTGGCATGGGAGGAAGCAGAGATGGAGGAGTGCTCTGTACCCTTGATTCAGTCACCCTGAGTGGTTGCATCTTACGTAGCCGTGCCATGGTAGCAGAACCTAAGGGGTTCTCTGTTATTTCATCACACTTGGCTAAACACCATTGCGATTGCAATATGGCGCAGGCATATCAGCACAAGCATTCCCATGCTAACCCTTCAGGCACTCACCACACCTTGAGTTACTCCTGACTGGCAGAAGGAATAATGAATGTATATGAATTATAATCAACAAATAATAAGTGATCTTCTAATGTGTGCCCTGCCCCCGGCATGGTGCCCTTGAGATGGTAGGTTTTTGTGTTTGTGCTTATTTGTTTGCTTGTTGACAATGTAACACATGTTCATAACAAATACTAAGCCCATGGGTGGATTTTTAACTACGGTGTATTCCATTGATTTCTTATTAGCTTGTTTAATCATTCACCTCTGCAAGACATTTTGATCACTTTGGATTTTGATCAATTTTGGGTTATCCATTAAGTGTATGCTGATTTTTTTTTAAAAAAGGAAATCACTAACAGGATTCCTAAGTGGCTGTTCTTTGTTACGTTATTGTCAGCAATATGAATGCCCTAATTTCTCTGCATCTTTTTTTGTGATATGGTGCTCCTGTTTTTGTAACATTTTCTCTTTTTAAAAGTTGTGGAATTTTTAGTTTTAATATTAGCATATAAAGTATTGAAATATTATCATGGCATTTTCAGAGCGTATTTTAGTAGATTCTCTTGCCCTCTCGTCTCCCTGCTCCCATTACTCCTGATCCCCTCCTTGAAGCCCCTCCCCAGTCTCTTTGCTTCATTCTCATACCATGTCCTTTGCCTACTCCCCGTCTTTTCTAATCATTTATTTTCATCATTTCTTGGTCTCTTTTATAGCATTTTAGACTTTACCTATATTTACACACATGCACGCACGCACGCACGCACGCACACACACGCACCAGCCTAGGATCTGCATGTGAACGAGAACACGTGTCTTTAGTCTTTCCAGAACCATCGCTTTTCCTACAAACTTCATTGTTTGGTTTTCTTGCAGCTGAGTACAATCCTGTGTGTATGCATACCACTTTTCATTATCCATCCATTATTCATTTAGGCTGGTTCCGTGTCCTCACTGTTGTGTGGGTGCAGTGGTAACATGGCTGTCCTCCTGTCTCTTTGGGAGGCTATCATCATTTGGGTGTGTGGCTAAGAGTTGTAGCATAGTTGGCTTATACAATCCGTTTCTTTACTAGTTTTTTTTTTTAGAAGCTTCCATATTTATTTCTGTAATGGCTGTACTTGTTTGAACTGACACCAGCAATAAATAAGTAAAACGTTGCTTCTTTCTTTGCATCCTCAAGAGCATCTATTGTCAGATTTCTTGATGATAGCCATTCTGACTAGGATGAGAAGGTATCTCAAAGTAGCCGTAGTTTGCAATTCCCTGATGGCTAAGGATGCTGAAGACTTTTTAAAACATATCTTGGCCATTTGTGTTTCTTCTTTTGAGAATTGTTCATGTAATAGCCTATTTATTGATTGACAGGTTTTTTTTTCCCTTTAGTTTTCACTCTCTGTAAATTCTGATATTAGCCTATTTGAATATAGCTGCTGAAGATACTGTAGCTGTCTGTCGCCTTGGCTGGTAGTTTCTTTGCTGTGCAGAAACTTTAGTTTTATGTAGTTCCATCTGTTGATTCTTGGAGTTGGTTCTTTTGAACTATTAGAGATCTAGTCTGAAAGTTCTTACCTTATCTTGAAGTGTATACTGTATATTTTCCTCTAATAATTTCAGTGTTTTGGGTTGTAAATTAAGGTGTTTGATCCCGTTCTAGCTGATTTGTATACGGGATAAACAAAATGGATGTGAAGATTCTATAGGAAGATGTCCAATTTGGCCCTCACTGTTCTTTTGAATGTGCCGTCTTTTTTCAACTGCATATTTTTGACATCTTTATTGATTTTTATGTTCTGTTCCATTGATCTCCTTGCCTAGTTTGTTATCTGTACTTATCACTATAGTTCTATAGTATGATTTGAAGTCATAAATACAATGCCTCCAGTTATGCCTTCCTCCTTAGGATACCTTTGGTTATTTGTGCTCTTCTGTAGTTCCATGTGGACTCTTGGACTGGTTTTTCTTTTGTTTTGTTTTTTTTTTCTACTTCTTTGAATAATAGCATTGGAATTCTGATGTGAATTACATTGAATCTGTAAATGACTTTTGATAATATAGACATTTTTATGATATTAATTTCCTCACACCAGGAGTGTGGAATGGCCTTTTCATTGTCTGGTATTTCCTTTGATGTCCTTTGTCAGTGTTTTGAAGTTCTCTCTCATTACTGATGTTTTTTCACTTCCTTGATTAGTTCTATTTCTAGCCATATTGGGAATGACAAATAATTTCTTTTTCTGTGAGTTCATTGTTAGTATTTATGAAGGCTACCGATTGTTATATATTTATTTTGTATCTTGTAACTTTACTAAAAAGTGTTGATCTATGTTAGAATCTATAGTGTGTTTCAAATATATATTCATGCCATCTACAGATAAGAATGGTTTGACCTCTCCCTTTCCTGTTTTTATTCCTTTCATGTCTTTCTCCTATTTTATTGCTAAAACTTCAAGCACTACATTGACTTAGAACAGTGAAGTGGGTATCATCTCATTCTTGATTTTAGAGAAAATGCTCTCATGTTTACTACAATGTTGGCTCTAGTGTACTTGCCTTTATTATTTTGCCATATACATATATATTGGCAATGTGGTGCACACACACACACACACACGTCCATCCAGGACTTTCATTGTAAAGGCACTTTGAAGTTTGTCAGACGTCCTTTCTTCATTATTGAGATGATGATATGATCCTTAAGTTAACTTATATTGTATACGGTATACACTTCTTGATTTGTGTATGCTGAACCACACCCATGGATAAAACCCTTTTGGTCACAATGTAGGATCTTTTAAATATGTTCTTGAATTTAAGAAATTTGAAGTTTTGCACCTATGTTCCTAAGGGAAATTGCTATGTAGTTTTCTTTTCAGTTTTTTTTTTATGTCTTTGATACTAGCATAATAATAGCTTTGTAGGATGAATTTGGTGGTGTTCCTTTCCTTTCTATTCTGTGGAACAAATGGAGGACTGTTGGAACTAGATCTTACTTGAAATTGTGGTACAATTCAGCACTAATTCCATGTTATCCTGGGCTTTTCTTTGTGTGGAGACTTTTGATGAAAGCTTCAATCTTGTTGCTTGTAATGGGTCCATTTAAATCACTCATATCTTGTCTTTAATTTTGATAAATGATCTGCATTTATAAATGCATCCACTTCTTAGGTTTTTGTAGCTTTTTGGAGTGTGTGTTCTCAAAGTATTACTTAATAGGGCTTTGGGTCATATCCCTCTTTGTTTTTCTCAGGTTAGCTAAGGGTTTATCAGTCTCATTACCCAAGCCTTTGATCTTCAGTATTGCTGTTTAATCTCTGTGTCATCACTTTCTCTCACAAACTTTATTATTCTCTGCCATTGTTGGGTTTGGAGCTGTCCTCTTGCTTTTCTGGAGACTTGAAGTGTATTTATATGAGTTGAAGTGTTGTTTATATAAGATGTTTCTAACTTCCTAGTATAAGTGCTTGTCATCATGTACACGATAGTCTTAGGACTACCTTGGCTATATCCCAGAGGTTGTTTCTCTCTGGCTTCAAAATACATTGTCTTGACTCTCAGTATTTTCATAGTTTCTCTTCCTGTTGATTACTACTTGTATTTCCTGGT